CGGGGGGGGGGGGGGTTCTAACACAGACAAAAATGTACTGAGTTACGACTTTGCACCAGAACAGCAAACTGAAATACATTAATAGCTTAGCAAACTCAGTCAAACATGTAAAAGCAAATTTAATGTGTGCAGTAGTCAATTTGGGCTTGTCACAATAACTTTTGCTGGACAATCAATTGCTCCAGAAATTATTGCAAAAAAAAAAAAAAAAAGATAATATAATGTTAAGTACACTCTCTCTCAAAGATCAATAAACTTTCATTTCTAAACAACACTTAACACTTGTCTAGAACTGGAAGACATTTTAAATATCTCAAATAAACAAATAAAACAAAGAAAACAAATAAAATAGTAATAAAGTCACTCATACTGGAAAGCATTAATAAAATGGATTATAAAGTCTCAATAAACAAAATCATCCTTGAAAAAGTATTAATCATTATGAAAAACAACCAAAACTGCCAGTTAAGTGTTGAAAGCACCGGAGTGAAGCCTTTTGTCATCTGGTCTCTTTGGAAGTGAATGAGGCTCATAAGGAAAATAAACAATTATGTGACTGCAAATTATTGAGCTAACTTTGATTTATCGTGTGCATAGAAGCTGAATGTTGTTTCTCCAGAACCAGAAGACCTGAGAGGTCTGGAAGGTTGAAACAACAGATTATATGTAATTAAATCAATTATTATTTTCAACTCTAACATTATTTTAATTCATAGAATAATAATCAGTGGGGTTGGTGTAAAATATGGGATGTATTGCTTGAAAGCATGGCATTTTGCACAAATGCTAGCAGAGCCACAAAAAATTCTAATTATCTTACCAATGTCTGCTAGGAAATAATTTCATTACAGTGATTGGTTATTTACAGTCATATTTTCTTGTAGAAGATATTTTTATTACCCTGAACATTATTTTAAAAGTGAAATTTGTCCATTTTGTTGCTGTTTGAGAAATGTTGTACTTTCCTGCTGTGTTTGCTCACATCCTGTTTGTCTCCTGGGGGCTGAGCCCCTCTTTTCCCTAAATCCTAGTGACACCCCTACTGAAAAGAAATGAGATTTGTGTCCTCTCATATTTACGTCAGCACCTATCGGACACATGACTCACCGGTGGTGAAGCGGGGTTTGCTGACAGTGTCCTGCGCCGTCAGACTCAGGGTGTTCTCAGGCGAAGTGAGCGAGGTGGAGGCCGGCAACGAGCGCGTACGCGACAGCGCCCGATGGCCGCCAGGCACGCAGGCCGGCCCGCCGCCGCGGAAAACAGGCACAGCCAGGGTTTCCATCTGCTGATGCATCTGCTGCAGCTGCTTCTGCTGTTCATATAGCAAGGACTGGTCGGAGGGAAAGACACAGAGCAGCGTCAAGGAGAGACACAACAGAGAATCTGCTTTTTAAAGAGTTATGTTGCCATCTAGAGGAATAAAGATAAACAGCAACGATCTGCCTGCTTCTTCTGAACTCTCTGTGGAGGAATGTTTGTGATTTTTTTTTCCCAAACCTGGTTGAGTATGAGTGCATGCTGTAGGTTGATTTGCTCTTCATGGGCTTTGGATCCGGTTGGCTCCGCCTCCCTCAGTGACTCCGCCCGCACTCTGCTCTGGTAGCTGGTCTCCGTGGGTGAAGCTCCACCGCCATCCTCAGAATCCATATCCTCAGACGGGATCTGATGCAGTCTGGGCTTCTCGCTGGACTTGGACATCAGCTGCAGGCAGACGGAACGCCGAGATCATTCAGGATGTGAAAAAGACGATGAATTAAGAGACAGAGGGGAGAACTAAATCACATTTTTGTGGGAAAGTACACCTCTGATGTACTACTGATAATAATGAAACTGTATTTTTTATTTTATTTTTTTCAAAATCAAGCATCACACTGGAGTCATTGCAGCGCTAAAAACATAGCAGTGAAACTACATGTGAAACTGAAACTGAGGTGCACAGATTTAAAACTAACCTTAAGACTGTCAGAACATCCTAAATGTTGCCTATTATTTTTAAAAAGCATACGCAACACAGCACAGTAATTCTAACTGAATATTTAAGGATGTTTCTTTTGTATATTCTTGACATGGTGCAGGTCTTAGCTTTTATTCATTATTGTCTTAAAAAGAATGAAATTTGAGTTGATGAAACCTGCTCTATATGTAAACACATGTAACAAGTCTGTTAAAGTCCTGTTATAATCCCAATGAAAGCAGGATTTAAACTCTTATTTTATAACTTTCAAAATTTTTATTTTAAAAGAAAAAAATTATAATGCTCTTAAACGTCAACTGAAAGTACTGATAACCATTAAATCTAGACATTTTTTTTTTACAAAGAAAAACTGCTGTTTAGAGACACTTCCTCCTAATCTGATAGATTCTGAACTATTTTGCAGAGGAAGCAGCAAGAAGCTTTAAAACTGCAGCAGAACATGGTTCTATAGAGCACAAAGGCTGAATGTATTAACTCATATATACTTTTATTTAAAAACTTTTTTTTCACTCCACGTTGCGTTAATCCAGTGGTTTCCAAACTTTTTCTCCTGGGCCCCCCAAGTGGTTTCCAAACTATTTCTGGTTCTTTGCGTTTTTGCTGGTTTGCTGCCATGATCCTAACACACCTGCATAGCTCTGCCCAGCAGCAGCAGGTCTCCTTCACTGCTGCACAGGTCTGAACCCAGCGTGAGCGTCGTAGCGCTCATGTTGCGTTTAAAGGCTGCTCGGAAAAACAGGTTACCACATGTTAACAACGGATTAAACAGTTTTAACTGCTGATAAAAGTGACAGAGGACACGGATATGGGAAGTGCGGAAGCCCCTACTGTATCAAATTGACAAAGGAATAACAGAGAGTTGGCCATTCTAAGGTAAAAACCCAGCGCATACAGCGTTCATGTTTTTTTGGGGGGTTTTTTCATCCAAGACGGCTTTAGTTATACGTCAAATTATTTTACGTATAACTAAAAGTTTTTCATCAATATTATGAATTATTAACTTAAAACAAGCCCACATTTCTTGCTGAAAAGCTACTTCTAAGTTAGTTTTGTCGTGTTTCAGCTGTAATGAGATGTTTGCACTAGAAACCAGATCGTTGTGTTTTTTCTTAGTTGTGTTTTTTCTGGAACAGATTTTATGAAACGTGGCACAGAATGTGTTGGTACCTTTCCCAGGTGCGTCTGCTGCTTGAGCCTCTCCAGCAGCTGCGCGTTGTGCTGCTGCTGGAGGAGGTGGTTGTGGAGGGCCCGCGGGCTCTGGGGAAGGGGCTCCGAACGGGTTCTGCTCAGTGGCTTGTGGGCCTGAACGCCGCCTGGAGACAGGCGGTCTAACTGTGACACGAACTGCAAAGGGACGGGGTCGAGGCCTGGCACTGCTGAGAGGCAAGTGGAGAGAGGAAAATGACAAATTTATGCAATATGGATCAAATCAGCACATATATGTGCAAAACTGCACCTATAGAACCAGATAACTTCATGAATTTTCCAGTATATAATTTCACAACATATTAATTCAGTTTAAATATAAAAGAATTTTAAGATGGGTGTATTAATCCAGCTGTTATTTGCTGTATGTAGGAGAAACATTACAAAAGTAAGCAGTTGGTGGTGACTTGTCAGAAAGTGAAACTTTGTGAAACAGTCCATTTACAAATCATAGAAGCACAAGTTAAAAATGGAACCAGAAGTGAGAATAAAATAGCTCATTTATTATGCGACTTCTGCATCTGAGATTGCAAAGCTTTGCAGCTTGAGATGCATTTGAGGAAGTGTATGAAATAAAGATACAGACTAATATTTAGGCAACCCTGGGGCTGATGTGTAAAAAGCCTTAAAATAAAAATGATCTCTTATTTTAGAAACATGGCTTCACATTAAAAATGCATAGAAGATGCATATTTAGCCCAGAGTTAAAGTGCTGCAGATGTACTGCCGATCTGCATGTCAGGATACAAGAGCAGCCACTCAGCTCAGAAACTAAACTTTTGGAGAAAAAGAAAGTCTGAAAAGGAAGACAGGAAGAGAACTTCAGCATGGAGGGGCATCTTGAAGGTCACTGAGTCGCCATGACAACAATCAGATGCTAGCTATATGCCAAGAAGTTGTTTGAGAAACATGAGAGAAAAAGTACAAACTAGTTTCCATGTGAATCTTTCCTTATTTTGTACTTTTACCTATCCTGAGTTTGTGAACTTTATGTTCACTTTAATATATTAAATAGCAATGTTCACTATGAAATGATGGTGGATGATTCTACATTGGGCTTGATTTGGAGAAACAGGAAGAAATGAAGGAAGGAAGTAAAGAAAGAGGGAAAGAAGTAAGAAAGAAAGAGAGAGAAAATGAAAGGCAGAAAGAAAGAAGGAGGAGCAGACACGTAATGGAGATAGAACAACAAAAGGTAAGAAAGAAAGAAGGAAGGAAGAACCGCAGCATAGAAGGGCATGAGGGACGGAGGAAAAACAGAAAAGGAAGGCAACAAATAAATATGGAGTAAGGATAACTAATAAATATGTTTCTTTCTTCATAATGATCCAATCCAGGAAAATACTGCAGTCAAACTCTATATTTTTACAGGAACCTGTTAACACTGAAGACATAAACGCTGAGATTTTCAGCACCAAACACTCCTAGCGGGTCAGAAGAGAACAAAAACAAGATAACTGATGAAAGCATCAAATGGCCACAGAGAACGTGTGACCTGGTTCTGTTCTGAGACATGAACATGAACATGAACCCTAAAAACAAGACATTTTAAATGAACTGTTGCAGTAGCAAGAGCTTTTAAGGAATCTACACATCTTTACCAGAGGTGTCAACAAATAGGTGTGTGTCTGAGTGTGTGTGTCTCACCACCCAGCGTGTGCATGAGTCCGGAAGGCTCTAGGATGATGACAGGCAGGTGTGGGTTCATCTGGCCTGCCTGGTCGTCTCTGCTGAGCGGCAGGAAGACAGGCGAGCCCCCGGCAGCGACCACAGGAATACGGCTCATCTTGAGCGAAGAGAGCTCCACCTCAGCCTGAAACACAGAATGGAAACATAAACAGAAAACCTGGAGTTCAGCTCTGACTAGAGCTAAAGGTAAAAACTGACTAGATCACAAAGCCTGCAACAATGAGCTGATTTAAGACAAACCTTAAAAAAACCCTCAGTGCAGTTTAACAAGACCAACAGCGCTCCTGTCAAACCGTCGACTTCCCTTTTCAAAAACAGATTGGAAAATACAGAGAGGGGGATCTCTGACTAGGCCATATGTTTTGAATTATTATCCTGTTAAAAATCATGAGCAGAGGGCACCAAAACAAATCTACATCTATTTTAGTTTCAAAGTATCTTTGGAACCATGCGTATATATAAAGCTGAATTATGAACCTTTAATAAAAAACATGTTGTTTTTTTTTTGTTTTTTGTACAACTAAAACTATCACCATGTTGTGACAGTATAATATGAGACAGATAATCTATAGAAGATGGAGCTCTTCCAGAAATAAACTGCTTGATCTCAACCAATTAGATCAAGGAGGAGGGTCTTTGTGATGCAAATCATGGTTGTGTACATGTTGCTCAGACCTTTCCCCTTGCTATCTGGGAGCTTGTTCACCACACTGGAGCCTGTTATGAATGCTAATGCTAGTTAGCATGGCCTCGATGTCAGCAGATAAATGCCAAATGGTTTCCCAACATTAGCACAAGAAGCAGCATACATGAGGATGATTGACAGCTTTAACACCCTCCTCCTGGCTCTGATTGGTTGTTTCTGACTCGGAGTGGTGCATTTCTACAGACGGCATTAACATATAGAGGAGGTGGAAGAAATCAATCTTTTCACAGATTATCTGTCTCATACTGTTATGACGCAGTGACACGTTTAATAAATATGTGAAAGACATGTTGTTTATAAAAGTTACATACTGAAGCTTTAAGCCATGTTCCAAGGAGGACTGATAGAACAATAGGCCCACAGAACTACAGATCCTCCATTGTACTTTCCCACACATTCATCCTTTTCGATCTCCATCTTACATGTGAAAGGTGCTGTTTAGGGTTGGCATGTATGGACTTAAAGTTTTATCACAATAATTTGTGGCACTATTATGACCACAACAAATGTGATAACTATTTATTGTTTCTTAGGGAACTGTATGACTCTGACCGCATGACAGCACACATATTTTAAACTGTATTGACATTTATACATACTTTCATTAAAAAAAACAATGTTTAAAATAGTAAAACTAACAATCCTGACAGTTTTGAGGAGTTTCAAACATTAACTGGAATTTATTGTGATAACAATAAATCAAAAATTCTTATAATTTTAAGAAATGTATTGCAATAAATGATAAAAGAAGGAGGTAATCCAAATAAAGGCTACATGAACCAAACATGCGCTTACCCTGGGGTTGACTGGCAGTCCCAGTGTGATGGTGGGCAGAGTGGATGGATTCTGGATGGTGAAGTTAGACAAGGTCCCATCTCTGAGCAGCAACTTCTGAGCCTGGCAACACCAAACAGGTACTGCTAAAGTAACCAACATGAACTCAACACTTCTTTTTAACGTGATTAATATATGCTGGATTTACTTTATTTTTTATCTGTTCACAAGCTGGACAGTTTGTCCTGATAATATCTCCTCCATAAAATGTCAGAGTTGTTCAGTAGTTAGTATTCAGGAGTCTGAGGAATGGCAGTGCAGACTGATGAAGACCTTCATCTCTGATTTAACCGACCCGACACCCGACACGGCAGCCCATGAGTCAAACAGCAAGGCAGGTGTAACAGAGGGCGACTTTCCGTGATTAAATGAATTATGCGCAACCAGCTGACAAACAAGCTCCTGTGTCGCTGCTTTAAACATGTCATTACTCAAAGTCCTGACAAAGTTAATGTTTGCAGAGCAGCTTCTCACCTCAATCAAAGCATGTTTTCTTTTTTTTTTCTGGCTTTGACACTTAAAAAGAAGATTCTAGATCAGAGATATTCAAACTTTTTGTAACACTGACCAAAATCCTCAACAAGACAGTAATTGCAGGATATTTTGACTATTTTCAGAAATAAATACATAAATTAAATCACTCCTTTTTTTGAAACTCTGTATTCAGCTGAGTTCTAAGAATTGTAATTAAAAGCAGATTTGGGTGCACTAAGGCCTGCTTTAGTGTTTAAAGCAGTGTTTCTCAACCTTTTTTGGGCCAGCGCCCCCCAGCCTTTATCCAGGTCCCTCACCGCCCCCCACC